GGTGGTAGTTTGTAGTACTAAAATGCAATATGAAAGGACACTAGAATTGCCAAGATTGGAACTGATAATGGACTTGATCCTTTCCTGACCAGCTCTACACAACCTTATATGCATTCATGTTTCCATTTGTTTGCATAGGCTAACTATTTTTAACAAAAGGTCATTCAAAAAAATTAATAATAATAATAAAGATAACTGTCCACTACTAAATTCTTCAACTCATCAAAGCCTAGTCTCCTCCCTTTCAAGAAACATCTACAATAATAGATAAAGTTATTAAAAATTAATAAATTTACTTTGTACTATAGTTTGTGAGTGTACTTCTTTTAGTCGAGTGAGTCTTATGATAGTCAGTCTCTTCCTCACTGGTTCTTCTGCAGTGCTTCTTGTGTTTAGTTTTTTGATGATGATAACCTTGATTAACAGAGAAAAGCAGATGGCTATGTATATGTACATTGTATATATATATAGGCATAGGGGTAGGAACAGGGGGGGCAGGAGGGACTTAAGCCACCCCAACTTTCATTGAAGGGGGGCTTAGCCCCTCCAACTTTAAGTGATGTACATGTATTACTATTATCAACACTATAGACTTTAGTTTAGGTAATCCTTATATGTGTGCATATTGTGTGATGATTCGTTTAATAAAACAATTAATGCACTAGCTTAACTTCTAAGAACACACTTTTATTAGTTTTTTCAGGCTTCTACTTCTTCATTTAACAACTCTGTTAACATCAGCTTCAGCTGAGCATACATTTTCGACGTTAAGGAGATTAAAAACTACTTGCGCTCCACAATGTCACAAGAGCGTCTTAATCATGTAGTTATTTTGCATACACACAAAGAATTTACAGACGATTTACACATCAAGGACATTGCAAAGGAATTTGTTACATTTAATGAGCATAGCGCCAATATTTTGGACAGTATTAATTTCAGTACATGCTATGTATTAATGATCAATTGTAAAAATAATACCTTAGCCGCCCCAACTTTTAGTTTGTTCCTACCCCTATGTATATAGGTTATATATCCTTACTGTTCTGTGGTATGCTGAGACTACACTGTAGGTAGGAAGAGTGGAGATGTAAGGAGGTTACTCACAAGTGGTCCTGTGAGGCTACTGGCAAGAGGAGAGAGAGAGAGAGAGAGAGAGATAAAATAATATGACATTTAGTTTAAGAGAAGGACACTACGCCCAACTCTTGTCGATAGTCAGACGTCGGAGTGTTGGCCACAGTCGGTTGATGCTCCTAGTCTGCCTACCCGCCTAGACTTCTTTCCTGGCTATCTACCCAGCACCTCGCCCTCGACCCTCTTTTCACGACTCAGAGACACCAATTGTCGTCATA